CCGGTCTCGGCGCGGGAGGCCGGAGCTCCCCTGTCCCGGAGCTGTCCCGGGAGCTGCATGTGCGTCGCAGCCCGCCCGGCGGGCCGTCATGCGGGAGGAGGAGGAGGAGGCGCTGCCGACGGCGACAGGTAAAAACGCTCCCCTCGCCCTCCCCCTGACACTTCTGGCCTTCGCCCTTCCCCGCACGGAAGGGATGGCGAGTTGTCCAAACTTTTTTTTAATAGCTGGTTGGGGTGGGCAGCGCTGAGGAGGGGTTCAGATCGGGGACTGCCCGTGGGCTGTTTGTCTTGCAGGGCGGTTCCCTCAGGCTCTTCTCAGTTCAAACACGAGTCCCTCCCTTCTTAGTGAATTTTTAAGGGAAAAGCCTTTAACATACTCAGTCTTCTAGCCTGCGTTCGGGTTTTTCAGCCGTGTTCTTTGTAACTTCTCTGTAGAGAAGTTGCTTGTCCCTAATTTGTCCAGATGTCCCTCATGAAAAACTTCAGAGCTGTTAGCTTACAAGTCGGGATGCTGTGAAACAGGAGTTGGCAGCAACACCGGCAATGTAGAGCCCGGGTGAAAACTTCCCTCTGTAAGCGCTCCCCACCTTGCTCCAACTACTCCCTGGCAGCAATTATTACCTTAGGAAACACCTCCAAATTAGAAGGAAGGAGTACTCGAAAAGATGATAAATGCTGTCACAGGAAAAAAAGCACTTAATGAGCTGGCTGGACCTCCCCGAACTTTGTTTTGACGTACAAACACAGGAGAGTCTAAGTGAGAAGACAGGTGAGAAACGTCCTGCAATTAACCTTGGAAAACAGCAAGGCTGAAGAGATACATGCTTTTTAATGAAAAGTTGCACTTTACAGGCTAGATTTCCAAAACTGGACTTGATTCTGGCAACTTTGGCAGTGGGTAGTGGTGGTAGTTTTGGCTGTGTTGTAATGGTAATTTTTTAATCAAAATTTACTCTTACAGGTGGATTTCAATGTCTTTAAGACAGTATAGGAAGTCAAGAGTTCTTGTTATACTGACAGAATTTACAAGGTTAACATGGATATGAAGAATCGCAAAAATATTTAAAGGCTTATGCTCTTTAAGTGTGTAAGCACATCTTTTTTTCAGAGATGAGAATCGATGACTTAATTTTACTGGAATGATTCTAGGCTCTCTAAACACTACTGTGAAAGCCTGTTTGTGTAATTCAACATGCTGAGGCACAGAAGGCAGAAAATATGGCTTTCACATTGAAAAACTGAGGAATACCTTGCAAGAACATTTATTTATAGCACTCCATTTCTTAGTGAAAATGTTGGTTGTGTTTATATTTGTTTATACATTATAACATCAATATTCCCCCCCCGCCCCTAAATTTTGTGATTATTTGCACAGTTAGTTGTCACAAAACACTGTGAGGGTTTTTCCTAGTAATTAAATGCTGTTTACAAATCAAGAAGCAAGGGTTGGAGGAAGAAGTGCTAAAACTTCTACTTTTAAGTGGTGTTTTCTACTATGATGGCAGCAGGACCTGTATCAGAATAGGACTCTGCGTTATCACTTTTGCATTTGCCAGCCTGACCTTAGGATAGGACCTAGCACAAATCCACAACAGCAGCTATCTACTTCTTGGAAACAAATCATCATTGGCTTCAAAAATTGAGTGACATACAATGAGGTGCTTTGTGCTACTCATCTAGGAGCACTTTCCAGGACAGTATTGGTTTTTGAAAATAAAATTTGGCTGTTCCTAGACAGAAAGAGTATTCCAGGAATATTGTAGAAGAACACCGGAGATTTGTGGATGATCTGAAAGACCAGTTCATGATTGAGTGTCGCACACTAGGTTGCATAGTTCCTCATTTAAACTGTTACCTTGGCACAAGTTTATCTCCACAGCTGAAAAGCAGCCGTGTCAGTCCTGACATCTCAGTTAACACATGTAGTGGTTATGACATCACAGTTGATTAGATTTAGGAATGTTTTATAATCCAAATCTGTTCAGCATCAATTGGAGATGATTTATCAAATAAATACTCCTTTAGGGAATCTGCTTGAACTGCGGTCTTTCACTTCAAAATAGCTAGCTATGGGATTTTTGGAGCAGATTGTACCCAGTCCAGGTGTGGCATGTGTATTTCCACCGAGCCATTGTGAGTGTGGGTTTTACAAAAGTCCAGCTGCACTTTGTTCCCACAGTGGCAGTTTTAGGACAATGCAGCCCCAGGCACATTCTTCTGTAGTTAACAGATTCTCCAGATGAAATCATGGTTCTCTTCATCCAGCATGCAGGAGTCTATTCTGCGTTATAGTACTCCAGTTGCAAACCTGTAACGTGCTTTCTTTTAATCATATAGTATCCGATTCTGAAGTATTTGTGGATTTTTATGCCCCATTTTATATTTCTTTCCCCACGCTGCCCCCACGCTGCCACCTTTTCCTTTGCAGTGCAAAGTGTAGATCAACCTATAAATAACATGGCTGGATCTTAGCAGCACTGGTGCCTGTGCTCCTTTTTTTCAGGGGTTAGCCAGCCTGCTTTCCAGACCTGACAGTCCCAGGCTGTGTATATAATAATTAGCTGGGTTTCTGAAGTGAAATTTATTAGTAGTAGCTACAAGCCCTGGTGAGATCCCAAGCACACTGGAACTGCTGACCTGCCTGCATAAAAACATCTTGGGTTTTCTCCAGACGAGGTTCATGTGACATCCTGGCAACACAATCCACTCCAGACTTTCAGACTTTTAACTGTTGACTTAGACTAGCCTTCCTCTGCCCTCACTTGCGTTAACAGTCCTGGAAAAGTCTAGAGAGACAGTGAATTTAGGCAGTTGGAGCCATTAGATCAGAGGTCAGAAAAAGAGTCTCATTTCTAGCATTGACCTGCTGCATGACTTCAAGTAGTATTACTGTCTTCATGTGTCTGTTTAATACTTAATGTTCTTTTGGCCATAAAAGGTATTTCTACAGATGACTTGTGTAAGAAGTGCTATATGACATCACTTCAGTAAAGCAAGCAGTTAAGTATCAGAAGACCTTTAGATAAATATGAAAGAAATATAGAATCACTGAGGATTTCCAGGTAGGTCAAAACCAGGGGAGCACAAAATCAGGATTCCAGTATGTGTGCTATCTAAAAGATAACCTCTTTAGTTTGTTTCTGGAAACCGAAATGGACAAATTAATTGGATACTTTTATAAAAGGCTTGATAATAATCTTGAATATATTACTTGTCAAAAATGTGCATTTCATAATAATGATTTGCACATCAATGAAAGCTGAGATAGACACTGCTGAATCATGTACTTTTGGTATAATGGAATGCATCCTTAAAGTAATTTCAATGCAATTACTTTTAAAAAATGTTTTATCAAGACAGGGGGGGGGGAAAAACCCAACAGTCAGTGAAAAGATGATAGTACCAGTGGTGCCCCTGTTCTCAGATGTGACCAGAAGTGGGTGTTTACTCTGGTAAGGATGGACAAAGAAGTTCTGGCTCTCTGTCATCCTCCTTAATTGCTCAGAACAACATTGCAGTCATACTGACACAATGAACAGTCTTTGTGAGGGCCATAAGCCCAGAAATAAATGCTACCAAAGGTGAACGGGTTCATCTCACATGTTTGTCTCCTCTTGTTTTTTTTCCTGACACACCAAATATTGTGAGTTATTTTATCCAAACACATGATACGTGTGACCATTATTACACCATGTCACCAAAGGATGACTACACTGAATAATAGTTAAATACTTAAGACATGGCAAGTATAAAGCCCCCGAGCTAACGGTTCTCATTGTAAGACTGATAAGCCACTGAATGTCACTGCTTAGCAAAAGCATCTGTAGCTGCAGAGCATGATGCTATGGAGTGGAACAAATGGGGGTTGGTGGAAATCCGTGATTAAAATGTGTATTTCAACTGACTTTTTTTCGTTGTTGTTTGTTGGAATTTTGGAACGAACTACATCGATACCCTTTGATTTTGAAATTCAAAATAAATCCAGTATCAAAGAAAAACAGGACAAAATTACTGCTCCTGAGTTATTCACCAGAATAGTGCTCTCAATGGTAAATAAAAATGAGTCTGTTCATTTCCTTTGCAGATAAACTTATTAAACATTTTTATTTCTCTGGAAATACACTGTAAATAAATAAATGTAATTTTCATATCCATGTCTAATCTACTCTTGGAATTACATTGCTCTGCAATCTGTTAAATATTGATTTTTTTTTTCCTCTAAAGATTTTCCCTACACATGGGTAAGCAAGCACATAAGACATAAATAAAAGTAATTTAATTATATTAGTTGCATGTATGCAGGTATACGTTCACACAAGACCTTTTGTTATTTATGTCACATTAAACTCTTCAATTTTTTTGTGTGTGAAACCTCCAGATTTTCTTTGATGCATGTTTCTTTTGTTGTAGAGCTGATAACTGTCTGCCCAGGTACAGGACTCCTCTCATGCCATGATGAGTGTGACAAGCTGTGCATCACTTCATTTATTCTGTTTCACTCAGACTGGTAGGT